TTTAATTAGTAGTGTAATTTGATGAATCATCAGTTACAATAATTCTTAATTTTAAATAATTTTCTAAAAAAGTAAAGATAACAAGTTTGGTTATTAATATATAAATTTATTTTAATATCTTAAGATTGTGAGGATAAGGCATGCTCAACAAAAAATAATTAAAGTTGTAAAGCTTGTTTTTCCTGCGTTCTACAAGTTGCAGATTCTGAAGATGGCTCTGGTACAAGAAGACCCTAGCTAGACGTGCAAATGTTGTTCCAGAGAATCATAGTACAAGAAAGACCCTAGCTAGACGTGCACATGTTGTTCCAGAGAATCTAGTCCTGTACCAACACGAAATTGCTGCAATCACTAGTAAAGCTATGATATTGGTCCATATAAGCATGAAATATATACTTGGATTTTAGATATCGGTACAATGTTTGTTTAAAATTTAAGAATACATTTACTTTACCAACATGTAACGTCCTTGTGATAAATAGTATCAACTGTTGATGCATTATTTTGATTTGTAGAGAATATAGTGGCGAAGAACGTGAGAGGGAAGAGTAGAGGAGTTGGATGTGAAAGACTCCTAGAAAAGCGCAGTCAAAGTTGCATGTAGACTTTCAGAAAGAAGATGGAGTACCTACTGGAGTAAATGCATCAAGTTGAGTACTGAGGTAGGAATAGTTGCGAGGAACTATGCCCTTGTAAGAGTGCTTACTTGGAAGAAGTTCCCTACAATGTCGAAAAAAAAAGATTGCTCGTATCACGGTAATGTAGTTTAATATCATTATCCATATTGTCCTACTTATGAAAATATATATATACCCATATAAGTTTAATGCATGTACATTATTGATGAATTAGACCAAGTTGACATTGATGTCACGGAGCCCCATGTACTGAAATGGCTGAAGCACAAATTGTGTAAGAGATTCAACAGCTTCCGGAGTGCCTACACAAGAAATTCAAAGCATATGCTACTAAAGAGGAATTACAGAATAGACCAGAAGAAATTAAAGATCCTGATGATTGGTATATTTGTGACTTTTTCGAGTGAAAAGTTTCAGGTAAGGTCAAATGGCTTTTATTGTTATTATATGATTGTATTTTAATTTCCTGATTTTGTGGTGTTAGGCAGGTCAAAACTTACACTGAGAAACGGTCGAAGATGAGGTGTAACCACCACGGTGGTTCCAAGAACTTTATCCAGCACAAAAAGGAAAAGGTATTTAATATGATTCACCTATCAAATATACAACATTGTTGTCCGTTTCTAATTATTATATTTATGGTCAAGACGATATGAACTGTTAAGGGCAACACGTTGGGGAATCTGTCGGGCTTATACAATATTTCATGACACTCGTTGGAGCGCGGAGAAAGGGTGGATTATGAAACAAGCAAGAGAGCTATATGTAAGTTGATCATTTTTGTCATGTTCCCTACCGCATGCTGGATTTTGTTTAATTTGGTCTCATTGCATTTCTCTGTCATCTTTTGATCACCTGTAATTATGTTCTGCTTCTGCATTTGTTGATATTGTCATTTAGTTTCCTGAGTGTTACCAAACTTTTATAACTTTGCTGTGGTTGGCTAGTAGGAAAAACTGTTCATGGTTTATAATCTGTTTGGATTGAACTAACAGTCTGGATTTAATGATGTAGATAAATTACAGCAAAAATAAATTAAATAAGGTTCAGAGTAGACTGGTTTTATCTAATAAATCATTTGGGTGGAATTTGAATTTTCTAGACTTGAAAGATGATGAAGATAGTTAACATCCCTTTGCTCAAATAGAGAACATCATCGGATGATTGAAAGAGGAACATAAAGCATGAAATCTAGAACCATCAGGGTATTTTACTTTGAACATACTTTATTTGGTCAATCAATGATGCTTCTTGCTATAATTTCCACTTTTAGAGCTTAGAAGGAAGGAAAAGTTTCATCTAAAGTTCAATTTGTCTTGGCTGTAACTCAGAGGAAGCTCAATACCATAGATGTGATTCAATCAAGATGGCTTGTGATTTATAATCTTTCTCCAAACTGAAGTGCTTAAGTGTAGGAAGGAAGTAGGAAACTATAATCTTTTGTTTCTTCAATATTCTGTAGCTTTAAAGTTATGGTTTAGTTTGGGTCATCCAAAGTCTTGTCTCTTAATCCTCATTAAATTATTAGCATTTGGAGGACGCAAGAAAGCTATTTGGGGTATCTGAATTAAAGAAAAGAAAGAATCTTTGAAAAAGCTATTTGGGTCTGATTAATCAAGTCATAATGTCCTCAAGTTATGCTTCCCCAAACGGTGTTACAAGCAAAGGCACTTATATTTCAAAAATACAAAAGCTAAGCAGAATCCCAAATTTGACTTTGCTCATCAAAGTGAAACTCCTATCCTATTTGGTTATCAAAATCATTTCTTGGCATCTTTATGTGCTATGTACAAATTTATAAATGTACTGTTTATACACTTGATGAGTAGTACAGATTTAAAACACTTTGAAAATGGGAAATGCATATGTACAGATTTATACATATGGCTTTGTTTTGCCTCTTGCAGAATAAAACACAGATTATAAATATGCCTCTTGCAGAATATGTGTTAGAGAAAATGCAACAGCCCTTATCTTCCAATTACTTAGCATTTTATGCATGGTTTGTGAATGTAAATCTGTTGCTTATATGTGTATAAGAAAAACATATGTCACAATTTTCCTTTTAGTTTAGATTGATAATGTTTGAGTACTTGCTTCTCTACTCCATCAGACTATTTTGTTTGGTGCGTAGTATTCTTTATGTTGATATTTAGTTTGTTGGTTGACTTATTGATTATGCATTCAATTGATGGTAGGAAAAAATGATAGAGTTGCAAGAGGAAACACAAGCAGAGGAAAGTGAAAACAGAAGCTGGAGATATGTGAGGAAGTTCTGGTAAAGCTTCGGATTTAACCAGAATTTTGCATTTTCACAGAGAGCACAATCCATGCAGAGAAGCAGAGTTAAGGTGCATTGTGCAACAACAAGAAAATAAGATTAAACAGTTGGAGGACCAGCTAATCTATTTGATCAACAAAAGAGAAAAATAAAAGCTTGAACACCAACAATTTTTGTTAGAGTGATGAAGCAGCTAACTATAGTCCTTAACTAGAGAAATCTGATAAAGCTCCAACTCACAGCGCTTGCCTTTCGAACTGATGAAGACTCGTCCTCATCGATATAGCTATTTCAAATACCGACTGGTGACACTTGACATGCTAACGGTATTGATGGTTATTTTTGTTTTGTATGGACAGTGATATTTACATGGGGTAGAACCATCGTTTTAGGATTGTTTGCATATATGTGTTAGATGGTGTACATGAGGTGGGCATTTTTTTGTTAGTTATGCACAGATAGGTAGGTAGAAAAAGGAAAATGTGGGGTATGTTGTTCTTTTGAGTTATGCACATCTATAGTGCATTTTGGATTTTTATTGCTCATCATGCATAAAAATTCCATATGGACTATATATATATATGTATGAAAATATGATTTTTGATTTAGTGATCAGATTTTTATATTGTGTTCATTATTTTGTTCATGTTGAATGTATAATGTAGGTCAATACGAAATGCTCTAAAAAAAACACATTTGCTAAATGATTTTTTAGTAGCAAAAAGTCATTTAGCATAATTGCATTCACTAGAGGTCAATATGAAATGCTCTAAAAAAACATTCTGCAACTAAGTTTTTAGTAGCAAAAAGTAATTTGTATAATTGTTTCCATATTCAAGTCTAAAAAATAGTCGCGATAATATTTTGGATTTTACATTCAGCGTCTAAAATGATTACAATTAACCACTAAATTTTGGTCACTAAAAGATAAATTCGGCCACTAATAAAATAGTCGCAAAAAACATTGGATTCTACATTAGGTTTTAATACTATAATTAACTATTAAATTTGGTACCAAAAGATACATTCAGCCACTAATAAAATAGTCCAAAATTATTGGATTACATTCAGCGTTAAAAGACTTATAATTAGTCACTAAATTTTGGTCACAAAAAGATACATTTGGACTAATAAAATAGTTGCGAAAGCCTTTTACGAAATTACCCTTACACCTTTGGCGTCTAATTTGTGTGGGATTCGCGAAAATTATTAGACACTAAAACTGACATTTTGCAACTAATTGAGTAGTAGTTATACAATTTTACCAAATTACCCTTGAACTTTTAGCGTCTAAGTTGAGGGACTATTTTGACCAGCATTTACCGACTATTTTGCTAGTCGCAAAAAAAAAATTTTTTTTGCGTCTAAACTAAAATTTAGACGTGCTATGAATCTGCGACCAGCCTACTGCAACTAAGGGGCGACTACCAAATTTAGACGTTAAAAATAGCTTAGCGTTTAAATATGACTTTCTGCGTCTAATTTTGCTAGACGCAAAATGCCAGTTTTATTGTAGTGTGTGAATTCTTCTGAATTATCAAACTCCATTATATCGTCAAAATGGTCACTTCAATCAATAATTCCGGATTAAACAAAGGGTTTAGCATGTATCATGCATACAAATTAGTTAAGGCATGTGGTCCATCATCAAGTAATGGTGAATAATCATCAAATTAGCTCTCTATAATATAATTCTGATACTCTTCTGATGTCACAATATTCTATGTGAGAACAAACCCATGCACACAGGGACACTAAATTTGGTCCCAAATTTCATCTTGGAAACCAACTTGTTACCAACTTTCCTATTGAATAAATATTAACTTTTCATTATAATTAATATTACCTTGTTTTATCATCACAAAAACTACACTTCACCTACTGATCAAATTAATTAATAAAGAATTCTAACCTAAATGTGATTATATAAACCCTTGTATTGTTTGCTTGTAATGCCACATATTGAACGAGAAAAGAGTCACAACATCAGTATAATGACGATCGATGAAACAGAAAGTTAGAAAATGAAATCAAACTTATTTTAACATATGAAAACAACTTTATATAAACCCTCTTAATGGAACATAGAAATTAAGCAAGAAAGAGTTAAACATCACCATGGTTATTGATCTTCTCTACCTTGTTCTGTTAGTGTCTGTTCTTCTCATCTTCTTCAAACTCATTGCAGAGAAGAAACGATTTGAAGACAAAAATCATATACCCAGCCCTCCTAGTCTTCCTATAATCGGCCATTTTCACCTCCTAAAACAGCCCTTGGCCCCACCATTGACCAATCTCTCAACCAAGTATGGTCCTATTTTCTTTCTGCGTTTAGGTTCACGCCCAACACTTGTACTGACTGAACACTCAGTCATTGAAGAATGCTTCTCAAAGAATGATATCATCTTCTCCAACCGTCCACTCTTGCCCTCTAGAAAGATTCAAACTTATAATTATTCTACAATTATAGCTCCATATGGCAACCACTGGCGCAACCTTCGCCGTTTCTTTGCTCTTGAGATATTCTCAGCGAAGCGTCTGCAGATGTCTGCAAACGTTCGCCATGAAGAACTAAGAATCATGGTCAAACACTTGTTTAAAAGCTCACTCAAAGGGGCTAAGAAAGTGGATGTGAAAGCGTTTCTTTACATGTTGGATTTTAATATGATGATGAGAATGGTTGCAGGCAATAGGTGCATTGAAGAAGAGGAAATTGACACAGATGAAGCTAAAGGTAAAATGGATGAGCTTATCCAGACGTTTATACCTGACTTGAAAATGGCTCTGGGCGATTATTTTCCATTTCTGAGGTGGTTGACTTACTTTGGAGTGGAAAAGAAGCTGCTAAATTTACATATAAAGAAGGATGCTATCACGCAGGCTCTTCTAGATGCACATCGAAATTCTAAAAAATCTACTGATGTTGAGACTAGTGGAAGTACAATTGTAGATATGATGCTGAAACTGCAGGAATCTGAACCTGAATTCTACACCGATGATGTCATCAAAGGAATCATGCAGGTAATTCCCAGGAAAATATAATATTCTGAGACTTGTTAAAAATACAGCAATCCTTATTTGTCAATTCTAGATTGATCCCCAAGTATATAGATATTACAGACAAGGATTATTTGATTGTTGTTGGGTGTATGCATGCGGCTGCGCTTTTTTAATTTATGCCTTAAATTGAAAGAGCTAGCGTTTTTAATTCCAGTTACATGACATCAAAGGTGTTTGGGTATAATAAAACAGACATAGAACCTCAAATTTTATGAGGGTGTTTTAAGGAATTAATATGAGATAGATACTAGCTAGTTTCTAACTTGTGAGAAATCTATAATTTCTTTAACTATTTAACTAATAAGCTTCTGGTTTTTTAGTCAATGCTAACAGCAGGAACACACACCACGGTGATCACTATGACATTAGTTATTTCACATCTGCTATCACATCCAGATGTGATAGAAAAAGCAAGGGAAGAGATCGATAACCACGTTGGACAATCCAGGCTAGTAAATGATGCTGATCTTCCTAAGCTTGCATACCTTCGAGGTATTATAAATGAGACACTTAGAATAACTACAAAAGCAGTTTTACCTCCTCGAGAGTCGTCAGAGGAATGTAAAATAGCAGGTTACGACATCCCACAGGGCACACAGTTATTTGTAAACGTATCGGCGGTGCATAGGGACCCAAATTTGTGGACAGACCCAGATGTGTTCAATCCTGAACGATTCCAAGATATTGCAGAAGAAAAGGAAGGGTGTAAATTCTTGTCTTTTGGTGTAGGAAGGAGGATATGTCCTGGGGCTAGTTTAGCCATGCGAGTGATGGAATTATCACTAGGGACCTTCATACAATGCTTTGAATGGGAAAATGGTGAGGATGAGGTTGACAGAGTTGGTGCTGTCAAAACCAAAGGGAACATGCCAATGGATACGTCTGTTAAAATAATATTTCGACCTCGGGAAGCACTTGTTAAAGTTCTTGATCAACTTTGAACTGTGAGCATGCGGCTTCTGAAACTTATGCTAACTTGTGGTTTCTGTTTGAACTGTAAGGTGCAAAACTAGATATGTTTTTATCTTTATTGTCATAAACCAATGTTAAATAATTAATTGTTATTGATTATTATATGTAGTTGCTGTTTGGGTTTTTTGTGTAAATTAATAAACATGTTTATTTTGAATTTTTACTGTTAAGAGATTTAGATGAAAGATAGCGTTTTCCTTAACAAAGTATTAGTTAACTAAACATTTAAGCAAACTGAGTTGTTAATGGTGTTTTTCTACTGGAAATTTCACAAGTAAACAACATTGTTTTAAAACCCGACCTAGCCTGTTTAACCGGTTGAAACAGGACTCGAAAGCTTCAACGGGCCGGGTTTATGTTTTTCCTATTCACCAAAAACCCTAAGATTTGGGAGGATGATTGGCGAACAATTACCGGCCGAGATGTTGGGGCTTTTGAAGAGAAACTGCTGGTGAATGCAATGGTGGTGACGACGTTGATTTTCAGTGAGTAAATCGACCGGAAATCGAACAAAATTGGCAACGGAAAAAACTGGCTTTTGCCGACGATTGGCGAGGCTAACGGGGGTGGCTTGAGGTGGGTTTTGGTCGGGAGGAAGAAGGGAGTAATTTTTGGGTGATGGGGAGGGTTGTTGACGCCGGCATCGATGAGATCTGGCCTGGAATGTCAACGTCGGTGTCGGTGAGATTTGGCCAAAATCGAACCTATTTCGGCTAGATCTTGGGTATATTTTAAGGAGAATGGGCTCAAGGGACGATTGGGGTTGCATCTAGAGTGTCGCCATCGTCAATCAGTCGCTAGCGGATTTGTATTTGAGGTGTGTTTTGCTAAATTTCAAACCTATAGGGATGTAACTGTAATTTTCAGAGATGAATTTGCTGAATTTTAAAAGTTTTTATCAATTGATTTGACCGTCAGTCAAACCGATTAAACCGGTCAACCTAGGACCCGACAACTTTGCCAGGTTTAACCCCGGGTTGGGTTTTAAAACATTAGTAAACAGAGAAACATATAGCCTGTTTGATAGATTATTTAAAAAAAATATTATTCTGAAAAACTATTTTAAGTTGAGTTGAATTAAATTAAATCGAATAAGATAGAATTATGAAAATGTGTTTATTATAATATCTGAAAATTATAAAATAGTTGGATAAAATGTTGAATAGTTGTCTAATACATTTTTGTAAAACATTTTCTAAAAATTTTTAGATTTTTTTAACCCCTTATATTTGTTAATTTAACTAAACAAACGCTACAATAAAACTTTAAAAATTAACTAAAACATCCCCTAAAATTTGGCTGTCATCAACGACAATCTAGCCATCGTCAATGGCAATTTTGCTAAGCTAAGCTTGACCAGGAAAAGAATTTGAAGAATTACAAATGTATGTGCAGCTGAAGGAGGTCAAGTGACGAACAGGAATGTAGCTTTAGCTTTCCATAAACACCATCTCATAAGAGTGCACTCATGTACACTACCATTATTATTATTATTTACAAAAAAATACTAGTTTTACAAAGAGAAATACAAAGAGAGGCATACAAAGACAAATCTTACTCTTAAAAGAAAGGAAAGAGAGAGAGAGAGAAACAATCATAAAGATTAAGGACAAGATTTATCTTTGTATACCCCTCTTTGTATCCTTCTTTATAAGGTTAGCATTTCTCTATTATTTATATGATTCTTATTTATAAACATTTTTTCCAAAACAGTTTTAAACATATTATCATTTATATAGTAAACCGGACCGGAGTCATAACCGGTTGCCGATCAAACCGGTCCGACCGACAGGTGTGATCCGATTTTTAAAACAATGACTACAGTGATAAAAAGAGCCAATAATTATTAGAGTTATACAAGTATTTTTTTTTTTTTTTTACGTGGATTCTTACGTCAACAATCCTTATCTAATTTATAAAAAAATCAAATATATCATCACTAGAAAATTCTTAAATGTGGGCATCCAAGCATTAAATGAGTTCAACATGTAGCGTTTTAAATGGTTAAGCGTCTCATTAACAAGTACAAATAGGTTAAAACATGTCATAAACGGGTTAAATGACTAAATTCATAAACAAGTTGAACTGTGTTATGAATTTAGACTATACAAAACCTGGGGGAACTTCAACAATATCTCTCGATTTCCAATCCATCTTGAAGTCTCAGTGTAACTATATATCAGTTAGCATCTCTCAAAAATCTTGTAGAGCTTCTCCAATGTTGCTACCTAGAAGAAGCAACAATCACACATCAGTGTTTCATGACAACTATTGGCCTTGTATATTATAGCAAAGAAGTAATATATAGGATTGAAGTCATCCAATTTGATTGGTTTGAAATCCTTATGAAGGAACCCTCCAGATGGTAAGTCCCACCGGGCAACATATTCCAAATGTAACTCGCTGAACTCCAGAGTACCAACAAATTTTAAATTAATAATAAAACACACACACAAATACAATGAACAAAAATTCATAACCAATTACCAAGCTCCAGCAAAACTTAGAATTACAAGCACTAATTACTCAAACACCTGACCTGAACAAATGTTCCATTCGTAGCCATGGAAGTTGGTGGTTTGAGAAAGAGTCTCATAGCTGGAAATAAGACATGCTGAATTGACCACTCACGCTGAGCCCAAGCAGCCTCCGCCTCTGAAACTAGTTCATGGTCGATTTCATCCTCCATTTCAACATCATCACCTGTAACCACCAAATTGCAATAAGGTCAAAACTCCCAAGAATAGAATAGTAATGTCTCAAAATGGAGGGTGCACAAATGACATGACCGAACACTATAGCAGTATTAAATCAAACAAGTGGATCACATTAAGAAGTAAAGTGGGTATGAGTTGCAAATTCAAACTTCGGCATTTAGTTAGGACATAGAAGTACTATTTCCTTATTGATATTTATCTTGTAAAGGTATTTGCATGTGATTCATGTTTTACATTTGTTAAACATATTCCTCATGGTAGAGGATGCAAGAGTTCCGAGCTAACCTGTAATCTATACAGAGCAGAGAGGCTGAGACTGAGACTGAGACATAGCAAATGCCCAGAAGGTCTGGACCAATCAGTCGATTTTTAAGTGTTCTCCATAAAAATTATGTACCAGGTCTAAGAAATTTTATCGGGAAGAGGATTTTGACAAATGAATCAGTCTTTTAAGGTTTTTTTTTTTTTTTTTTGAAACCTGAATTTCTTTCCTTTTTTTTTTCTTCTTAAACAGAACTTCTCTTTCTCAAAGAGGTTTCAGTGCTACATTCTCCATCTCAAACTGTCTTTGAAGTCAAGCTGAATTCTTTTTGTTCCCATATTAAAAATAGCTTAGATTCCAAACTTTTACCGCCCATGCAGTACTAAATTAAATGTTCTTTTATTAGAAACAAATTTGTAAAATGAAAACAATAAATCGTATTTGGAATTTCAATATTCCCTATGTATTATTCTTGATCTGCTGCAATGCTAACAAAAATACTGCTTTAAAAACCACAATGATAATATTTTTTTCCTCCACTCTTGCCTCAGAGAGGAGAGAAGAAAGATTAGCAGATACTTACCTATCGAATGTCCTTAAGGTGTTTCCCAGCACCATGTCAAAAGATTCAACGAAAGACAGTAATCAATCAAATACAATAGTCAACATTTTTGCATGACATAGTTCACTTATAGTGAACTAGCATAAAAAGATACAAGATCAATTCTTGATGCATGAGAGAGAGATCACATTATTGCAAATAATCACAGAAGAAATATGGTGGTCAACATGCATGCCTGGTTAAATAAGGATTCTCATATAGAAAAAGATTTGCTATAAAGCCTTCCTATAATGAATACTAAATTTTGTCCAACAGTAATGACTATGTGTAATTATCACAGCCATTCCCAAAGCGCATCTGATACATATAACTCTACCAGCAAATTAATTACTTAGGAAGCTCCTATTATAACTCTAATAGGATATTAGGATGCCAAAAAACTGAAGATGAATCTTCAATAGAATGGTAAGTCAAACAGAAGTGACAGAGACATCCTTCAACTTTTAAGTCTATCAAGAGTTTTCGCATGAACTTAACAACAAATAGACTTCCAAGGCATAAAAGACCTTACCAGTACTGTTTGAGGGCTCTCCTTCATTTTCAGTATTTGTAAAAGCTTTTCTCTTTTTGTAATTTACCAAACCTTCACCTGATGGGTTGGGCATCAGAGGAGGATGCAGTGCATAGAAGTTACCAAGGGCAGCTGCAATTGACTGAAAACAACTTTTTTCCTCCTCCCAGTCAACCTACAATAATGACGAGAAATTACATTATGTTCAAAATAAGTTATGTAGAAAAGGAAAAAGGGCCAAATATTTAATAGATAGGCACTTTATGCCTTCCTTATAGTACTTACATATCCAAATTACCAGATAAGATATAAAAGTAACCTCCAGTTGTCACAAAATGTAAAGATGAAAAGGCTTGACAGTGTGATGTGTCGGAAAAACTTCCCCTACCAAGTATTTGATACATAGAACACTTGCAGACAACAAAGTGGTGTCCATATATGTCCAAGACTAGCCTAGAGAGTATAAGAGGATTACCAACATTTACCTATAAAAGGACACAACTATAAGGTTATTGACCAACATGGTGAAGAAACTTACGTGGTCTCTATGCTAAAAATTGTTTCATGCTGGAAATTTCAGCAAACAAACATTCAAACATAATCAAATGGATATTTTGCCATTTTAAAATAACAAAAAGTATATAAGTTGCATCCCCATATCTATTTGAAAGTTGCCAGTTTAGACATTCAATTCTGGACTTTTACTCACCAAGAAGCATTGCAATAAAGATCTTTTAACCATTAAATAAATAACCAATCCCACGGGATATTTGTTTTAGTAGATACCAAAATTCTATAAACACTTGCGTAACTTTTCACGGTACATCAGTCACTCAAACCAACAAAGATGGAAAAAATTGAGGGAACATATTACTTGTCGGCATATGCAGGTCGGTAAAATTGTTCTATTATACAGTCAGAAGGTTAGGAAATTTCAAGAAATATCAAACTACTGAGTCAAGGATTAACACTTCAACCATAGTATAATAAATTACCAATAACATGCTAAACTGAAAGATTCATAGGAAATAGAGAGCATCTTTAAACATTTGAACTTACATCATTGCCCAAACAAAGTACAAATTCAGGAACGTGATCCATGTCAGGGGTGTACTGGTCTAGTATAACAGGAAGCCTAGATAAGTTGCCATGTGTGTCAATTTTAATGCAGAAATACTCCTCCAGCATTTCAGCTTTTTGCTTGAGCAGTTCTGTATTCATCTATACAGAGACCAAAAGGAAATAAGCCACAATGTTCCAGTAAAGCTGCACATTTGCAGTTATTTTGTTCCTACGTTCTGCCCATCCACATACCACAGAAAATACAATGAATAACAGTAAGACTTGTATCCAAACAAAAAAATAAAATAAAAAATGAGAACCATTTTTTTTTTTTTTTCCTGCAATTGGTTCCCCATTTTTCATATTAATACCACTCCTACATGTCTGTCTCTAACCCACAAAGAATTCCCATCAAAAAGCTTAATGTTCCAGGAGAAGCAATTAATGAATTAGAGATAGAGGAAAACCTTAAGATATAGACTTCCATGGACTTGTACAAGAACCCCTGAATAGTCCATAAGAATGCCACCCCTTGCTTTGCAAATAATCTTAATAATTGATACCAAAGAGAATTTAAATGAACTAAAGCAAATCTACCTTCCTCAGATAAGAAAGCCCTTTACAACCTTATAATCTCCTCTCCACTTTTTCAAAAATAGTATCCCCAAAACTCAGTGACCTTAGATTATCAACCAAAGGTTAACTTTAAGATCTTGGAAGCAATAAACATATAGACACTTGCAGCGAATTTTCAACTCTCTTAGTTGAGATAAAAGTGATGAAAGTGGCAATAAAAAAGAGTTTAGAAAAAAGCCAAGGAAAATGTGGCAAATTAAGAACTAAATGCTCCCAATTTCTGATACTAGAAACACATTTGGGAAAATATCAAGGAAGGCAAAATTTTTAGGGACATGAACACTATATGTTCAATTCCCTAGTTTGATTCGAATGAACAAATGATCCACAGGTGTTATCATTAAAAGGCAGTTGTCTCATATAAAGACAAAATTCTCAGGCTTCTCCTAAGACCCTGCTTTGGAGCACGGGAAAATGATCATTTGACTTAGGTCATCTTAACATCTTAACAAGTTCCAGTTAAGATTCTTTGTAATCCAGCATTACATCCACAGCCAAAGTTAGACTTTGTTACCTGGCAGGTTTAGCACAGATCCAACTGGATCACCGACAATTCAGACTAATATACGTTCTATTTTTCACTCTATCAAATCTTCAAAACAAACCTGAATCTTTTTCGCTCTAATAAAAAAATGGAAGAACAAACTAACCTGACTTAATCAGAATGCATTTCAAAAGGTTCAAGTATCTTGAAAAAATAAATTGTAAGAAGAGAGAAGATTACTTCAGCAATCTTTTCTTTTAGGTCATCATTCTCACTGCTTTCTGGATCCAAGTCCTCTTCTTTGAGAGCCAACACAATCAACTCCGGCAAAGGTGCTGGGTCACTTAGTTGTATAGCATTGAAATGGGCAAACCGTTGCAGAACTTGCTGATACATGAGTTCTTTGCTGTAAAAACACTGATAGTGAAAATTTCAAGCAAGCATAGAACTAGTGGCACAACAAGGACACTAGGAAATAGAACAAGCCAGAGCTTTAAAAACCGACTTGAAACTGTTATAATATGAGAGGAAAGGAAAAAAAACAAAGGGTATTAAGTATGCTTATCACTAGTTATTCCACTGATTCATTTCACTACAAAGAACTCCATAATGACAAAAGCCATCAGTATCAGCAGTAATTTGCTGAGGAAGAGAAACAAATTGGAAAAAAGCAGATATCTGACAAGATACAACGGAAAAATGGTATTAAAGGCTAAGAAATCAAAGAGTGATCAATCTCAAAGAATAACTAAAAGCTATGCCAGGACCACAGAGATCTTTCAATACATACAAATGTCAAAAAAAAAAAATTAATTTTTTCTTTGCTAAGAGGATTAAAAAATTGCAACACATAAAACATAAAATTAAAAAGTAAAAAGGAAAGAAAGAAAGAAAAACCAAAAACAAAAAGTTCTAAATCCTGGCCAGAAGTTTATATAAATTAATCAGGAGTTATAATCACATGAAAATGAAGTACAGAATGTCAGGAAATCGAGGAGGGCAGAACTATTACCTTAGGTTTACTACATTTGCAAGATAAAGATGAGTTTTATGCTGAAGCAACGCAAAAACATCATCTGCCATTCCTATATATGTGCACTGCCTCACAATTTCCTGTAGACCTGCACAAACATAAATTTAAAAAAAAAATGAGAGATCTACCTAAAACTATGAAAGGTTTTTATTGTCAACAGTACAGCAAATTTGATCAGAATGTTACCAGAATGACAGTTGCAATCTATATCATCAATAAGTTCCTGAATACTGGTAAGATCTGCAGTTTCATTTGGGTTCCTTCTTTGCCTAACAGAAGACCTACACTTGAAGGTATTAAACAAAATATTTAGTAAAAAAGTGTGGGCATAAAAAGCAGTCATATTCAGAAGAAGTAACATTAATAGTCAATGTTGTACATGTAACATTAAAATTTATATATATGCACTAACATTACACAAAACAAAACAACAGGAAAAGGATCAACCAAAAGCATCAGAAATTGCTAAGTGGAAATAAGATTATGCTGAAAGCTAGATATCCCACATTACTTATCAAACTCAAGCAAACATGACATGTATATATTAGATAAAACATTTTAAGAAATTATATTGGAATATTTAAAATATTGCATTAGTTCTTGAGATATCCCATACTTGCACATCTCATTAACTAAAAACTACTTTTTGAACTTTTTATCATCATATAATTCAAGTGGGCATTATCTGACAGTACTCTCCAGTCAGTATGCTTTAAGCAATTATCATATAGAGATATGCTGACCATACTACAATCAGTTGGTGTTTCCTCTTCCTTTGGGCAGCTTAACAACGTGAAAACATCAGCAAGTTCCTCAGACAATCACACCCATTGAGCCCCTTATTGTAACTGGTTTTATCACTAGAAATGTAGAACCCAGTTATTTTAAGATCTTCCCACCACTAGTTCAGTGACTGAAGAATTTAATCCCAACAGCTTAATGTCACCACTTAATTTTCTTGGCTAAGTTCGTGCGGCCTTAACACTTCGAGAATGTGTTAAGCAGCCTAAATCTCACACAACTCAAAGATTTAGTATGTGAATGAGAAGGATAACTGTAGAGACATTGTAAACTCTATATTGAAGGAAACTTGTATGTTACTTATGAACTTTACAAAGTGGAGTAACCTATTTATAGGCTAAACCTCCTCAAGGAATTGACTAGATACAATGTATTTTAATCCTTAAGTAATTCTAAGTGGCAACTTTGGGAATGATGATGTTTAGTCATGAGCCACTAAGTATGCTTAACCTTGAGTTAACTTAACCATTAAGCAACGTGCTTTTGTCGCCAAACGCTAATCGTGACATTCTCCCACACCTAATGTTGCGACGCTCTCGTCGCATTATCCTTATAGCGCAGGATTGAGTCTTGGAATTGCCATAATGAGTCTTCGGTCTCCCAACTGGCTTCGACGGCGGGAAGTCCCTTCCATTTGATGAAGTATTCTCGGTAATTTGGCACACCACGACTCTATCAGCAAGTATTCTTAACCTTTGTCAAGGATGTCACAACGTTGTTGGTGCTCGTTTAGAGACTCCTCAGGATAGCTCCTCCAGGTCTCATGGAATGGCTTTAGCAAGCTTACATGAAGGACGGGTATATCTTCAGTTTCGGAGGAAGTTGAGTCGATACCAAACTTTGCCGATGCGTTGTATCACTAGAAAGGGCCTTTCATATTTGCACACTAGGCCTTTGTGCACCTTTCTTAGTGTCTTGAATTGTTGGGGTAGTTAGCTTTACAAGGACAAGGTCACCTTCTTGGAACTCAACAGGCCTCATTTGCTTGTCTGCCCACTTTTTCATTCTCCTTGCTACTTTGTATAGGACTGCACGAGCAAGTTCAGTTTGTTCGTACCATGACTTCGCTAACCTGAATGTTGCAGGGCTCTTTCCATCATAGCGTGTGGCTAGGGAAGATTGTTTTGTTGTCGTCCCAGATGATCTCGAAGGGACTCTTGTTGGTTGCCTCGCTCCGCTGCAAGTTGAATGAATTGGGCTATGTTAAAGTTTTGCCCAATTCCATTGGCTAGCACTCACATATGCCGCAAATATAGCTCTAACAGTGCGTTGATGCGCTCGGTATGGTCTCAGTTTGGGGATGAAAGTTGGTTGAGAAGTCTAAGTTTGATCCTACATCTTGAATAACTCTATCCAAAACCTTCCGGTGAATCAAGAATCTCGACCACTAACTATGCTCGTCGAAATGCCCCATAACTTGATGATGTTGCGGAAGAAAAGCTTGATTGTTTCTTTTGCTGTGCAATCGGTGAATGCGGGGATAAAGTGGCATATTTGCTAAACCTTTCCACATGACTATGATGCTCCCAGACCCTTCAAACCTTGGCAAACACGTGATGAAGTCCATTGAGACACTCTCCCATGGTCTCTCCGGCACGGGTAATGGTTCTAACAACCTGCTGGTTGTTGTTGCACTACCTTGTCTTGTTGGCAAACAAGGCACGTTCACACATACCCCTCATTGCTATCCTGCACCCAGGCCAATAATAGGCAGATTTCAAGAGAGCAAAGGTGCTCTCATACCTGGATGACCTGCCCATAAGGATTCATGGTACTCATTGATTAATTCTTTCCTCAGATTATCCATCTTGAGATGTAGAGGCGGTTGCCTTGGTGTAAAGTAATCGTCAATCAGCCAAACCTTCAGGTCTTTCTTTCTTTTACCAAGGCAATGATGTTTGAGCCATGGCTCGTGATGGAGTCCCTGTTTGATCCTGTTAGCCAACGCGCTTGTGACCTGACTGATGCTCGCTAACTCGACCTTGCGGCTAGTGCATCTGCCACCACGTTGGTCCTCCTGAGCTTGTACTCCAAGACATAATCAAACTCGGCGAGAAAGTCTTGCCATCGTGCCTGCTTTGACTCAACTTCTTTTGGGCTGAAAGTAGTTTATTGCGACGTTATCTGTCAGAGTAACAACTTGGACCCAAGTAAGTATGTGTCCACACTCTAAGGCAATGGATGATGGATGTCATCTCCTTTTCTTGCACGGTGTAACGCCGCTCAGTCTCATTGAGCTTTCGACTCTCGTAAGCAATCGGATGCCCATTCTGCATGAGTACTCCCCCGATGGCAAAGTCAGATGCGTTGGTATGCACTTCATATGATTGTGGTGGGTTTGGCAAGGCAACCACGGGTTCCTGGCTGATTGCAGTTTTTAGCTCTTCAAAGGTAGCTTGACATTCATCTGCCACTCCTACGACTTGTTCTTCTTGATAGGTCTGTCAACAGCTGCCTTTGCTGAGTAGCCCTTGATAAACCAACAGTAGTAGTTTACCAATCCAAGGAAGGATCGTAACTCCGACACTTTGGTGGGTGTTTCCCACTCTTGAATGGCTTGCACTTTGTTGTCTTCCATTATAAGCTGTCGTCCATGATCTTGTGACCCAGACATTACCTCCGGTTGGCGACCATTTCTCCTCCTTCTTGATGTGCATCTTTGTCCCGCAAGACTTGGAACACTTCTCTTAGGTGGTGCACATGCTCCACGAACCAGTCGAGATAGGGATGGAATATCTTATTCATCAAAGTGCAAAAAGTGGTTGGTGCATTGTTGGACCAAATGACATAACCAAAAATTCATAGACCCATACTTGTAACACAAGTGGTCTTTGGCTCATCACTTCGGCTATGCACACTTGGTAGTAACCTGACCGCAGATCTAGCTTGGTAAAGTAGCAGGCATGCCCAGCTGATCGAAAAAATCGACAATCAAAGAATAGGACAGCTATTTTTCACGGATACCTTGTTGAGTGCTCGGTAGTCTATGCACATGCGCAAGGAACCATCCTTCTTCCTTTGAAACAAGACTGGTGCGCCATAAAGAGCTTTGAGGGCTTGATAACCCTGCGTCTAGTAGTTCCACAACTGCCTCCGTTTCCGCTAGCCCGGTGGTGTGCATACGATAAGGACCCTTGACAGGGGACTTGGCGCCTGGTTCCAGCTCAATCTGATGATCTACCTCCCTTCTAGGGGGTATTCCTTTAGCTCTCATTTGGTGAGACATCAACAAAATCCTCGAGTACTCTGCTACCTCCCAGGGCACTGCCTCTGGTGGTTTTGGTTCCTCATCATCATATTGCTTGAGGATGACCAAGTAGTCTTCCTCTTTTTTGATGCCTTTCTTGAACTGTAGGTCAAGAGCACCGTCGTCTCCGGCTTGGTAGAGCGCTTGTGGGCAATACACAAGCTTGCTCCCCGTCCATGATACACTGGTGTTGGTTAAGGCAAGGGAAATGACTTGACTTGTTTCATAAACTCTAAGCTGAGGACAACTTGGTAGTCTCCATTGGTGAACTGAGAAGTCTATGTAGCGACCAGTTCCATTGTGGTTTTGACATGTCGAGTACTCCATGTATTGGTTAACCACTGAGTTGACTGCCTTGATGGTGCCTCCACCTCCTGAAGCCTTGAGGCCCAACCGGCATACTTTACTTACTGAAACGAAGTTGTGCGAAGCTCTTGTATCTACCATGGCTTTGGTCCTTCCCATTGATGGCAACATCACATAGAACAACCCTTTGGCTTGGGTTTTTGGTGCGAACTGGATCCCTTGAGTAGTTGCATCGATCCCATATGTGCCCCATCGCTATTGCTTTCGGCTTGCTAGCCCTCTGATGCTTGGCTATGAGGGAAGTGAGAGCTTTCTTCTCCAAACAGTCTTTCACCCAATGAGGCCCATTGCAAATGAAGCAATTGCTGCGGAGTTTGTTAGAGCCCTTGTCCCAACGTTGCCCTTGTCCTTACACTTGGATGAGGAGTTGTCCTGGTGGGTGTCCCGGTTGCTCTCTTTAGTTGCCCCCTGTCTCCCGCACCTTTAGCAAAGCCGCCCTTCTTGTCTCTGGGTTTGCCGGTGTGTTCTTTTTGGTTGCTATAGTCTATCAAACTTTCAACATGTTATGGCTATGGCAAGGTCTTGTACTCCCCGACGCCTTAGCTCCGTTTTCAACCATGATTGCAACTCATCCATAAAGTTGAAGAGCAAGTCTTTGTCAGACATCCCAGGAATCTCCAGTATCAAGTCGGGGAAATCCTTGATGTAATCACGAATTGTCCCTGCTTGCTTGATCCTACGCAAGCGAGCTCTTGCCTCACTCGACATTTTCCGAGTAAAACTGTCGCTTAAGCTCTCTCTTAAAATCATCAAAGCTGAGATAGTGCAGATACCTTTTTGATAGTGCAGAACCTTTTTCGATGTCTCCCTCTCTTCTCTCCACCACAGCCTTGCAGTGTCCGTGAGATAGAGGACTGTAGTTTAAATCCTAGAGATCTCCTCTGTGACCCTACGGCCCCAAAATACTTGCTCTCCCACAAGAACTTCTTGTGCCTTATGGAGCCACCAAAGCTTTTTAGCCTTGGGACATCAATCCTCTGGCTTTTAATGATGTTTGCTGCCGGTTCATTGCAACCATGGCGCGCTTGCATCGCGCTAAATCAGCTTGCACCTCGTCTAAGCAAACAAGAGTGTTGTTGACTTTGGTTTGGAACACATGAAGGGTCTTGGCAAGCTCCCCTACGAACTCCTCACGGATTTTCCCCATTTCAGTCTTTAACGACTCCTCTAGTTGAAGGGGTTGGGGTTGGGGTTGACTTTCTCCAAACAACCACGTTCTTGAGAAATCTCCATCTCAGTCGTCTTGGATCCCTTTATTGAAACGACAGTATCTTTTGCCATCAAATAACAACCGAGGTTATGCCAACCGAGGCTCTGATACCACTTGTCACGCACTTAATTTCTTGGCTAAGTTTGTGCGGTCTTAACACTTCGGAAATGTGTTAAGCAGTCTAACACTCACACTGACTCAAAGACTAATAGTATGTGAATGAGAAGGATAACTGTAGAGAAATTATAAACTCTATATTGAAGGAAACTTGTATATTGCAACTTATGAACTTTACAAAGTGAAGCGACCTATTTATAGGCTAAACCTCCTCAAGGAATTGACTAGATACAATGTATGCTTAATCCTTAAGTAATTCTAGGTGGCAACTTTGAGAATGATGATGCTTAGTCATGAAGTTAACTTAGCCACAAAATATGCTTAACCTTGAAGTTAATTTAACCATTAAGCAACGTGCAACGTACTTGTGTCGCCAAGCAAGCTGGTCGTGACATTAAGCTTACAAGAAAAGTCCAATAATAACATTTAAATTTTATCATATTTCCCCATGTGCATGGTCAAATTTAAATAATAGATATGTCATGGGGGTCCAGACGCAAAGATTTTGTGGATCAAACACATAATTATAAATTATAATTACTGAATGGACATATGATGGAGGAGCAGAGATAGATAAGAGATAGAAAATAAAGAAATAAAGAGAATAAGAGAAAGAAAAAAGAATAAAGGGATAAATTTAGAAGAGAACTTACGCAAAGATTCATGAAAAACCATATTTAATCAATTATTTATCAACTAGTCTTCAACACAAATAAGGCCTTTTTACTGGTTATAATCCAATTCCTAATGAAAACATAATTCTAACTCTAATAAAATAATCAAATAAATTTTAAAATTAACTTGGACAAAATAATTTCTGAAATATAAGAAGACAAAGACTGAATAACTCTTACATCCTATTCCCATAGGTGCTAAATCAACATTTTTTCAAGATTTAAGAAGGTCTCTTGGCCAAATTAGCTTTGATAATATGTTGAGGAACCATTAATCACAAAAGACCAAGCTGATTGGGAAAAGCCGCCTAATAGTATCCAAACTTGGACATTGAGGATTATTTTATATGGATAAACAGGAGGTTCTACTAGGACAAAATATAGGAGTTAGACTCCACATTGTAGAGCTGAGAAATGAAGATGGGATGAGCATATTTGAGGATTAGGTCAAATTGTGGACAAGACATGATACACAAGCAAAGCTCATAGTCAGCGATAATGGATGGAGGCTAGAAAAAATGAAAAATGTGAGTATATGTATATTAAACATTCCTCAAGGACATCAAATCTAATTGGGAAAGGAGTTTTTGGGTCAAAATAGTCATGATTGAGAGCTTTCTTTCAGCCTCGATGTTATTGAAATCAAACTAAAAAATGTAAGAAAAGACCTTTCCACAACATCCAACTGTGAGTATATGTATATTAACTATGGAACCTACCTGACAGCAGTTAAACTAGAATTCTCTGCAAGATGTTTATGAGGCTTGGTTTGGAGGTAGGCATGCAACCTTCCAGCTGGATCCGATGAATCTGTTCTTACCATCTTATGCACTGGAACCTTTTGCGATTGTGACCCTACTTACACACATACAAAAAAAAAGACAGGATACAACTTAGAAGAAACACTTCAGTGTAATGAACAAATATATCTACCAGAGTTATTAATTTTGGGAGAAACAATTTACACCCTCTAATTTTAGTAGTGAAATATTGTATTTGATGGGAATGCAAATTTCCTTCATAACCTCATTAAGTAATCAGTATGAATAGGAGTAAGCTTATTTGGAAGAACATAAGTCAAATACCCTCCCCATTTAGAATGAATAATATTAAAATGATGATCCCAACCAAAGGCAGCAGCACACCTAAGAACAAAAATTTTCCATACCAGGGGAAAGGAGTTTAGGCTGCAACTCTTTGCTTGTACCCAAGGAGCTAGAAGGAGAGGATGCCACAGTCTGTAACATGCATGAGAAAATAGGAGACCAAATCAGAAATGATGAGAATTACAGTGTCATAATAGTTAGAGATGGAAGAAATCCAAAAGATATATGCAGGTAAGTTTTGTACTGTGTTAGACAATGGCATGCAGAAAAATATATGAAAGGTATGTTTCTTAAGTCCTACTCAATAATATTTTACATCACTTCTGACGGTGCCTCAACTAGTCAGAGAGACTACATCTAAGTTTATAACAAGTTGGGCCTATTTCTCAAGATATACAATGAACTCAACTCGAAACTGTTGAGTTGGACAGGTATCTATTCTTATAAACTGTTACATGCTCCAGTTATCAGATTAAACTGAGTCCACGTTTAAGTAGAGTGTCAGGGGGTTAAAAGTGTCTCAAATTGCATAAAAAGATACGTAAGTTTGTCCAGTTAAGCAAATATCTTATAGCCAAATCGAGACCAGAATTTATTTTCAAACATAAAAATCTAGTAGTAAAAGGAGAGAGGAGTAACATTTGTTAGTACAAGTATCTTAGGTACAATGAGTAACTCTTAAAGCTTTGGAACTCTACAATTTTGTAGACAACTTTGAATTAACTTTTATTCGTCAGAACAAATCATAGATTGTCATTATGTGTAAAATTCTTATAATAGTATATATTGCTAGTGCTGAAAGAAGGGCGGAAGCATGTCTGCAATCCACTCAATAAATTCTCGTCTTTCCAACGGTTTATTGTCAGAATTGTAATTACAGAATATGAAAAACAAAACAAGAAATCAAGAGAAATGCCCAAATCAACCTCTCTGATAATTTACATGGACTAGAGAATTAAAAAAAAAATAAAATAAAATAAAATAACTTCAATACAACCAGTAAAAAGCTATAAGAAACCTCAATGGATAATACTTAATAAATAATAATTATTACAAAGAACTGACAAAGTTATTTCTTATGGTGCAGACAGTGACTATTTATTCATGTCATATAATCCAAAGTTGCCTAATTTGGTTACAATTAAAAAGGTTTCCAATTTACACCAGTATATCCATATGAAAACCAAAATAGCATGAAATTTAGAGTAGAGAACAAAGATTTTGAAGTCAACATGACAGAGAAGGGGGGAATATGAGGCAAAATTATCTCCTTCATCTACAAGAATGTAAATCTTTATCTAGTATATCAGGACCCACTGTAATTAGCTCAGAATTCAATTAGTGGATTTCACACCCCCAAAAAAAATGTTTAAAATTGTTTCTGTCTGGTATTCTTTCTCGGTGAATTGCTAGTTCAAGTATTTGTAATTCTTTCTGGTTTTTAGTATAACTTACTTGGTCTTTTATTAAAAAAATTTAAAAGGAAAAAAAAATAACGTTTCCAAACTTCTGCCCAAGGATAAATAACATGTAAAAATAATAGAATAAGATACCCTCACATCTTCTTAAAGTATGAAGAATATAAAATTCTTTATGATACCAGCAACTTATTATCAGTACTCAAAATGTTGATACGGCTGATTATCATCCACAAGCAACACCTTGAATTAAATAATTGAAAGTTTTTATCCAAGCCTAACAATTTTAATATCAAATTAAAGTTTAAATGAAAAAATAATGAAGTGACTAAGGATTAAATTATTAAATCAAATTCATGTGAAGTTTAAACTAATTATGAAGTCAATCTTCGTCTACTCTTTTGCCGATTGATTTGGAGTAAGGCAAAGGAATGAGATCTACTGAATGCACATATTTGAAAAAGCAAATATCTTCTTAAAACAGACTGGAAAGTATTAGCTCCTCTAGTTTACCTGTTCTTGATATGTCACTGACTCATTTGACTGTCTCAGTTTCAATTCAACAGCTGACTGTATCTTCTCAACAATGATTTCCTGATTCAAAAGGCTTACCTGCATATACATAGTTCCTCTTACATAACAGAACGTGACCTCTTACATAACAGAACATGAACATATACTTTTAAAACAGACTTTGGGTACTTACATCATACATGGTTTACTCTTATCCAACAGAATACATGTACTCTCATAATATCTTTTGGGCATTTTCATTATAAGTCCAAAATCCATGCAGTACCTAGCCACTATATTCCCTAGGCCATGCGTGCTTTAGGCAATGGATATTCATAATCATATCCCTTTTATGCATCATTATATGATCCCATAAACATATCTTACAGGAGAGGTTGGAACCAGTGCATGAGAATTATACCATCCTTACGCAATAGTTTCTAATGGACCAGCATCTATGTACCAATATTGTAGAAATTCCCTTCCTGTAGATACTATTTCTAACAAGATCTATATATATTTAATGAATCATTTAGTACATCAAAATAACTGGAACCCAAATCAAACCCAAGATTTCAATATCTAAAAGGTTTTTTTTTTATTTCATAAGAAGCGATACAATTTTATCAAAAAAAAAAAAAATTAACATACAAGTAAAATAAACCTCAAAGGCCAACTTTTAGAAGATTAGGTCGGTGGATAGAAGGTAGACTTTAGTTTAATTGGTTTTATCTCGANTGTAGAAATTCCCTTCCTGTAGATACTATTTCTAACAAGATCTATATATATTTAATGAATCATTTAGTACATCAAAATAACTGGAACCCAAATCAAACCCAAGATTTCAATATCTAAAAGGTTTTTTTTTTTATTTCATAAGAAGCGATACAATTTTATCAAAAAAAAAAAAAATTAACATACAAGTAAAATAAACCTCAAAGGCCAACTTTTAGAAGATTAGGTCGGTGGATAGAAGGTAGACTTTAGTTTAATTGGTTTTATCTTGACTTATTATTCATCACTTTTAAGGTCACAAATAAAAGAAAAGCTAATGAATGGAAGCCCCAACAAGCGCTTAAGGCAAAGAGCCTACAGATTTTTTTCTCCAATATGTGTAATGGGCTTAATGAATCACTTAACCCAACATTGAAAAAGCCAAAGCTAGTGTTGAGTTTGTTGACAAAAACTTTTTCTCTAGATTTTACAGAGCTATTATCTACCTTCAGAGATAAAGAGTCAAAGTCTACTTTCTTCACCAAAGAGTCAAAACCCAACAATAGGTTAACAATAGAGAATCTTAAACCAAAATGAAGTACAAAGTTAAATACTTAACCTGCAATTCAATTATCCCCCAAGTTTAGATCCAATAGGGATTATAGAGCAATAGAAATTTGTGTTCAAAGCAAAACAGCAACCATATCTAATAATTCAAAATACAGTTGATATAAGATTTGCAATCTGATGAGGTAAGGAAGAAACAAACACCATATGAATCTAGTTCTATAATACTTTAGTGGTTGGCAATGAGAATAATTGAACTTGTTACACTCCTGTGGGAAAAACTTAACCAACTGAACTTTCTGCCAACTTTTTAGCAAGCCCGTAGGTGTTCCTTTTCTTTCTCTTTTTTTTTTTTTTAAAAAAAAAAAAAAAAAAAAAAAAGTTTGTCAATCCCAAAACTAGCAACATAGTATAGGGAACAAGAAAGCAAAAAAACGTACCTCTCTCTTTGTCGGGTGCACATTCACATCAACATGCTCAGATGGTAATACAATTGACATGTAGATGAAGGGTTTCGAAGCTTTAGGCAAGGTTGCAGTATAAACAATTTCAATAGCTCTCTTCAAAGCAGAACACTCAACCAACCTATCTGGAGTATAAAACAGAATATAGGAACATAAACAAAGTGTTTGTATGAGAATCCATTATCTGCATACCCAAACAAAACTGACAACAAACAAACCAGATTGGAATTCTTTTGGTCCAACAGAATAAGATAATAGATAAATAAAACAACCGTACAATCTCCAATCATTTTACTTGCATCAAGAAGGAATTTTTTTTATTTAATGTCCACCGAGCACCTTGAATTTGTACAAATTAATTTTAAAACAAAGTTCTGAAAAAAGCATAAATAAATTATGCATATGAAAGCTTATCCAAAATATTCTAGCTTTCTGAATTTATAACAACAAATCCAATGCGTAGAGACAATGCATCGTTATAAACCATATAAACACATTCTAATTCTCAAGCGTCGAATAGATCATACATACCATTAATAAAAAGCACCATTGTTGCTTTCTTTGCCACATAATTTGAATCAGATATGAAACCATCCATTTTGAAAACCGAAGTTGAGGGATCATTGTCTGAAGCTTCTATATTCATCAGACTGCGAGCAACCGATACCCCATAAACAGTTCTAATAGAATCAAGCCTTGATGATGTAGTAACTGAGTGAACATCTGCTCTTGCAGCTCCATGCTACATTATGTCAACAAGTTACAAATGCTTTACCAAGTCATCAACAGAATTTCCAAACAGTAAATAACCCATATGTATTATAACAATGATTCCGTAACATAGACACCAACCTTTCTACAAGAGAAGCCCACATTTATGTGATGAATGGCTAACCGGCTTAACAAATCAACAATTTTCGTATAATCATCAGAAGAGTTTTGCAATGTCTTCTTTCGAGCAATCATGTTGTAAAACAAATTCTCCACCTTAGAACAAACATTAAAATAACATTAGACCAAGGAAGAGGGGAAACAAATAAAGGCAGATTAAAACTGCCAATTGTATAAAGAAGTTCACATAAGAACTTCCTGCTGTGAATAAAATTTAGCTAATCTCATACAACTTCACTCCAACTAGAATCCACTCAGAATCGTAAATAACCATAAACCACATTACAACCATGAAAAACACAAGATCATAATTGTTACTAAAACTCCTCAACTACCACATAGATTCCAAATTTCCAAATTTTCCACAATGATAAAAAAAACAAACAGTCTGGTTCATACCATTATCTGCGTTCCTTTTACAGCAGCACACGGCTTTGGTTCTTGCTCCATCAAACCATCTCTGTAAGATACCCTGAACAACAAATAAACTCCAATTACAACTTAAAAACCAAATAAAAATAACAAGAAAAAAAACACGAAAAAAAAAAAAAAATCTCCTTTAATCCCACAAAAAAAAAAAAAAAAAAAAAAAAAAAAAAAAAAAAAAAAAACTTCAAATTCCAATTGCTAAACAAATTTAGAGTAATGCAAAACACACCTATAACCATGCAACTGTCCTTTGGTGATGGTCGTGACCGTCACGTGACCAACATAAGTCATGCTGGCCAAAGCCTCTCCTCTAAATCCCATGGATTTAATCGACTGCAAGTCCTCATACTTCGACAACTTAGAAGTAGTGTGCCTCTCACAAAGTATCGCCAAGTCCTCATACTGAAATTAAAACAAAGTAAAATAATATTTTCCGTTTGGTTCACGAGAAAATAAATGAAAAGAAAAAGAAAAAACATTAATAATAATAATAAATAATTGTTATATATACACGAATGCCGTGGCCGTCATCAGAGACTTGAATGAGCTTGAGGCCACCGTCCTTGACGACGACGTTTATGGAAGTGGAGTTGGCGTCGAGAGAGTTCTCAACGAGCTCTTTAACGGCGGAGACAGGGCGTTGGATAACCTCACCGGCAGCAATGCGGTTGACTACGGACTCTTCTAGGCGTTGGATTTTGGGTGGCTCTAACGACACTTCGGCTCTCTCAGTTTCCTTGTCGTCCATTTGGAGAAAATAGTCTTCAGTCTTCACCACCACACATGGAAACTTGTGCAATGCTTAGTTAGTGGTGTACCGGGTTTAATTCGGGTTGAATTAAACCCGGTTCGGTTTTGACCTCTTGCCAAAAATACCCCTCCAGTTTACCTTTCATCTTGACTGTTACAGAGGATCTTTTTGGTAAGGAACTTTTGAATATCTTTTACTAATTAAAATAAAAAAATATATTAAAACATAGCATTAGTAGAAAGATTCCCAACATGAACTGCCACGTGTCTTAGTGGTTTCCACCATTTGAAGTTAAAACTTAATTAAAAGACTATATAATTGGTAAATGTTAACTAAATAGCTTTGTTTTTTATTAAGATTAATTAAACATGATTAGGGGTTAATTAGGATTAATGAATAATTGTGTAATCTTTTAAAAATTATAATATATCTCCAAAGAGTCAAAAATCTTGCAGACAAACCCAACACCTTCTTCTTCTTCCTCCCGTCACATTAACGCATTCCTCCGTCATTAACATCTTCTCCAACACAGATCCTCCTCCTCCTCCTGAAATTTCGTCCAGGTATGTGTATTTCCCTTTTCGATTTTATATTTCAATTTACAAAGACTTAATGATGAATTGGGTTTGAGTTATGATTTTGATTTAGTTGTTTAGGTTGTTGGGTTGTGTTTGATGTAATGGAAGTTGAAAGGAGTGAAATTTGTTGAAAATTTTCTTGCATTGTGGGTAGTTGGGGGTGGTAGCACCAATTGTAGGTGGAGATGACTAAAAACATATTCTGGATATGATGGATCGCTTAAGTGATNACTTTCAACTTGATAGCTGAAGAACATAGGGTGGCAGCCACTGCATTATGCATGGAGGGAGAAGCCCTCCATTGGTATCAATGGATGGAAACCAGGTTAAGGATCAGTAGTTGGCAGGAGTTTAAAATAGCTCTCTCCCAAAGGTTTAGCGGGACCCAAGAAGTGAGTCCCTTAGAGATGCTGATGGCCACCAAGCAAACAGGCACGATTCTGGATTATCGCCGAAAATTTGAAGAAGTTGCAGCTTTAATGACAAATGAAAAAGAAGAGGTGCTCACTGCATTACTGTTATTTCCATCCTCTATTGCATAGATTGTGTGTTTATTCTGTTTTTATGGAATTTATTTGATGAATGTGATGAGATTGAGAAATGATTCATGTTGAGCTTCTTGGGTAATCACCATTGTAGTATTAAATGCTAGAGATAGATTTAAGAACCAATGAAATCAATCTAAGGTTCTATGAGCTTAATGAACTTGAATCTATTATTCTTCAATTTGTTGGGTGCGGAAGTGTAATAGAGAAAAGTAGGAACTCATAGCCTGAAAAGGTATGAATGACAAATTAGAGAATTCAATTTACAATCAATTGCATGTGAATATGGAAATAGCATAATCCGTAAGCTTATTCCAGAGAGTTTGAATGAAGTCAAAACCCTACCCTTTTATCTGAATTGAATTTACCCTTGTTTTTAATCTTGCTTCGTAATTTAGATTTGAATTTTTAGAAATTTTGTTTTAGTTTTAGTTTAATTTTCTCCCATAAATCCAATGAATTCGATTGCTCCAACTTGAAAACAGTGGAAAACTTAGTGTTTAGCAACCAATCCTCGTGGGAACAATACTCACTCATCACTTTATTACTTTTTGCGACTAGTGCACTTGCTATATTGCATGTTGTAGTTACAATGCATCATTTGGAAACTTGCATCACTGTAGCCTCCACTGATGTTATTGGACAATTTGTCAAAAGTCAGTTTGTTGAAGGGAAAGGTCCATCTCCTAAAGACATTTAGAGGCTTGTGCGCATAGAGTTTGGATGTGATGTTAGTTACTGGAAATGCTAGAAAGGGAGACAACATGGACAAGATTTTGTGAGGGGCACGCCAAAGCATGGATACGCAGTATTAGAAGTGTACTATTATATGCTTGAGTTGACAAACCAAGGTAGCAAGACGGCTTTGAAGTGGGACAAGAATATAATGTTTAAATACTTTTTCGTTGCTTACGGTTCTGCTATAAGGGGTTTTGTAAACATGAGAAAGGTGTTGGGTGTTGATGGTTGCTTTTTTACGGGAAAGTATAGAGGTACATTGTTGATAGCCACTGCACAAGATAACGAGAATCACACATATCATGTTGCATAGTGTGTGGTGTGTGGTAATTACTACGATAGTGCCTGACAGTTACGAGTTGTGCATAATATCCGATAGGCATAACTCTATAAAGAAAGGGATTGCCACTATTTACCCTCAAGCACATCACGGATTTTGTATGAGGCACCTTGGTAAGAACATAAAACAAAAGTTTAAGTGTGTTGGCCTCCTTCAGACATACTACATGGTACAAAAGCTTATCGGGTTGATGAGTTCGAGGAACACTTCCAACAAATCTGAATCAAGGATGATGGAGTTGCTAAGTATCTTAAGCATGATGTTGGTTTCGAGCGATGGAGTAGAGCTTACTTTCTTGGAAGAAGGTTTGATGTCATGACCACGAACATAGCCAAGTCCATAAATTTGATGTTGTTAATAGAAAGAGAGTTTCCAATTGATGCAATCCAGAGGACATTGTCACAGTGGTTCCATGAGCGTCATACGGAGTCAGATAATTTTACTACAACCCTTGTTCCGTCAGCTGAAAAATTATTGCGAGAACGTATGGAACTGTCAAATGCAATATTTGCCTATCCTCTTAATGCTCAAGAGTTCACTGTGTGCGGCTATGGTTCAAATGCCCTAGTTAACCTTGTTAGAAAAACTTGCAGTTGTAAAGTGCTTGACATTCAACGTTTACCTTGTCCTCATGCACTAGCAGCACTGAAACACCAACGGAAGCTGGATTTTGGTTCAAGAATTTACGTGGAACTTTGCTCCCCTCTCTATATGGCTAATCACTACATGCTAGCTTATTTAGAAACGATATATCCAGTGCCTCCAGAAGAGCAGTGGGTAGTGCCGCCAGAGTTGGCTGACATTATCATCCATCAGCCATTCAAGAAGACAGCAAAGGGGAGAAAAAGAGTTAAGAGTATTCCATCAGCCTCTGAGGTTCTTCGGAAGACAAATAAGTGATCAATTTGCAAGCAACCTGGCCACAAGAGAAGCAATTGCCAGACGTAATCACATGCAGATCCAGAAAATTAGGTTCGAAGAAGAATGAAATTCAGGGAGTTGCCAAGGCCAACCGTTGATGAGTTATTGTTTTCAATTATTGATGTTTTAAATTTTATTGTTACCTTGAATAAATCATTCTTTATATTTAGTATTCTTGTTACATAGCCTAAATATTTGTTGGTGATTTTAGTTTGGAATTAGGTTGTCAAATTAAGGAGAAAGTATGGAATTAATATGTGTTGGTAATTTTAGTTTGTCAAAATTCAGGAGAAAAGATGGAAAAGTATGTATTGCCCATGATCGCTTAAGCGACTAAGTATATTGCTTAAACGACAAAGGGTTTTTCATACATGATCGCTTAAGCGACTAAGTATATCGCTTAATCAACAAAGGGTTTTTCATACATGATCGCTTAAGCTATATCATGGATCGTTTAGGCAATCGTGCACCTAGGCAAATATTGATTTTGCCCATCATATGATTGCTTAATCGACCAAGTGAAAAAGAGAAGAATCGCTTAAGCGATATCACGGATCGCTTAAGCGATCATGCACCTGGGCAGATTGATTTTGCCCATCACATGATCGCTTAATTGACCAAGTGAAGAAGAGAAGAATCACTTAACTGATATCATGGATCACTTAAGCGATCATGCACCTGGGCAGATATTGATTCTACCCATCACAAGATCATTAAGCGACCCTGTGTAAATGAAGTTCCTTTGACTATTAAACAGATTTTTTGTGCAAATGGTTTTGCAGAGTTACAACTCCATACATAAAATTGTTAGTTGTTGGCAATAAAGTATTCATTGTTGAACGAATAGTACGGAACTGTAACTGTACAAAACTATCTAAACGAACAATCCGTTGATTAGTCTTTCAAACTTCGTTTACTCCTTAAAGTAATATCTCTTTTAAAATCAGACCGAGAAGAATCTCAAAAGAGTGCAATATTTATCAATGCTTTAAAAATTTCACCGTCTTCTTCTTTATCCATATCTCAACTGTGAAGCCATTTTATTGCTCGAACTCTTAACATATAAGGTTTATGTTAGTTAAGTGGATCATGACCGTTATTATATTTTTATTAAACATATAGTTCTTGTACATCTATATCAAACATATATGGTGGAGAATGTTTACGTCTATATTAAATAAATAAGGTGCATGATTCGTTCAGTGGAACATGACCGTTATTATATTTTAATTAAACATATAGTTCTTTTACGTCTATATTAAACATATATGGTGTAGAATGTTTGCGTCTATATTAAACATATATGGTTTAGAATGTTTATGTCTATATTAAACATATGTCCATAAAATTGGGAGATAAATATTAAAGTAAATTATTCTTAATCAGTTAAGCGATCCCGTCTATTTAGCCTTAGTCACTTAAGAAGGTTACAACAATTGTGCTGAAACACTTATTGTGATAACAGGAGTGCGGCGTTGTTCATAGTGAAAAACTTTCTGAAAAATTCTGGCACTATCTTGGTCTGCAGAGTGCCAAAATTTCTGGTTACAGAGTTCAATTATATATATCGGTTAAGCGATCCTATATACATAAGCCATGATTTGCTTAAGTGATATCTCGCATCACTTAAGCGATCATGCCTAATTTCCTTTGTACTGTACAATAATCATTCTCAAATTCAAGGGTAGAGATTTGGGTCGAAGAGAACTAGATTACCATGCAAACTTAGTGAACATAGCTTCTTCTTCTTTCTTCAGAACATAAAGGGTGCGTTTGGTTGAATATTCCCAATCCTATTCCTAAAATATTTGTTTGTATTAGTTAATTTTTTTAATTACTTAAGACCCCTTAAGTTTATTAATTTTATTAAATACCCCCAGAAAAAAAGTTTAAAA